CAGTTCTCTTAATGTTTCTTCCTATTCTTTTTTCTCAATTTCTCTTTTAACTTCTGTATACTATTCTTCTCTAATGTTTATTCATAGTTTGTATATTTCCTTTCACTTTTTTGACATCTTTTCTAATCTTGTATTTTTTTTTCTAAATTGTTTTTCATAGTATTTTGCTACTCCTACTTTGATATCTTTTAAACTTGTTATTAGAGTTGTTTTTTCTTCTATTGTTTGATAAACCTGTCAAGTATTATTTTCTTATAAGACCTATTCAAGAGACCCACTATCATTTTTTCCTGATCTGTTTTGATCATTTCACATCTTTTATCTATATTCTCTTTTATTTGTTTTCTTTGTATTCACTCCTAGTTCTTCTTTTTTCTTTTTAATAGTAGCTTTCTCCAACCTTTTATATCTTCTATCCATGCATTTGATCATTGTTTTTGTAGTTTTGGTAATTTTGTACCGATTTTCTTGTCTAGTGTTTTTAATTGTTCATTTACTTTACTTTTTTTCTTTTCTGTTACTGCTTGTATCTTTTTAACTTTTGCATACTTAATTAATTTCTGTAACTTGATAATGCTTTCTTCTTGTTGCTATTCCTTTTGACTTTTTCTTCTATTTGTTATCATATTAAATACTTTTTTCTTAGGTATGTGTTTATTTGCTGCTGTTATAATGGCTTTTTCTATTACATTCCATATATTGTTCATCTTTTTTGTTTTCTTCTTCTCATATTGTTTTTTCTTGCAAATATCTTTTAGAACTTCATTTATTTCTAACCAGTTTTGTAGCTCTTATGCATAATTTTCCCAATCTTCTAATTTCATTTGATTAAATAAGTATATTGTTCTTGATTGCCTTTTTTTTTAATCTTTGTCTTGCTTTTAACTGCTATCATATATTTGATCCATATTTTTGCTATTATTATCTTGTGGTCACTTTCTGTAATTTCTTCTACCTCTTTGATTTCTACTTTCTGTAAACTTGAGACTAAACCATCTGATATTTATATATAGTTAATTCTTGTTGCTACTTCTCTATTTGACTATATGTATTATTGATCTATTGAATTTATATCTCTGTATGTGTCTCTAAAGTCTTATTTCTTCATCCAATTAAAGATTAGCAGTCTTTTGTAGTTTGTTGTTTGTGAATGTTGTCTGTCTAAAATATAGTCTACTGTGTGATTAAAATCACCCATTACAATAATTTGTGTTTGTCTTTTTTTTTAAAAAATCATTTCTATAATTTTTTTTGGATGTTTTTTTCTACTATCTTAACATTTGATGGTATGTATACTGTAATTACAACTAATTCTAATTGTTTAAAGTATAGTGTAATTTCTATTATATATTTACTTATTTTTTTTAACTACTCTTATGTACTTTTTCTATTGTTCATCGATTATAATTCTAATGCCTGAATCTTTCTTTTTATCTTTAACTGCATTTGTCTAAAACTCTATATATCTTTTGCCTGTCATATATATTAGAAACTTCTCTTCTCTTTCTATAAAATTTGTTTCTGTAATTCTTAATATCATAATTTCCTTTTCCTCTGCTCTGCCAAGCAGATTTCCCAATTTTCAACCTTTGGTCTTGAGTCTATTTACATTGTGACATGCTAGTTTTATTTCTTTTTTTTTGTCTTTTCATTTTTCTTTTAGTGATCTGTGTTTTGTCTTTGTACTTTTTAGTTTTTCTTTCTTTTTACTACATAATTCTTCTTCTTGACAAGAAGTTTCTGCTTCTCTTTTTTCTTTAAACACCTTCCTTTCATTTTGTAAGAACTCTTCAATCTCCTTGTTTATGTTCATTAGTTCAACTGTGGCATTTTAGAAGTGATCAGCTAGGTCTCTTCTTGTACCTAGCTATATTTTCTCTATTTTTTTAGTCTATCTAAAATTTAATACAAAACATTTTCTACTTGTACAGTTCTTGTCTAATCTTGTAGAACTGCTTCATTTTTTTTTTTTTTTAGATCATTTCCTTTTACTTCTATATATGCATTTTTGTTTTCTAACTATTTTTCTATATTTTGTATCTAGGGATCTAAACCTATCTTATCATATCTTTTACTTGGCTTTTTTGCATTATGTTTTTGACTTTAGATATCTCTTGTTATTTATTATTTACTTTTGATCTTTCTTGTTTTCTTTCTCTTAATTTATCTTTTTCTTGTTCTTTTCTTCTTTTAGGATTTTTCTAACTTACTCAGTAGTTATTGTACCATATTGGTGTTGTTTGAGCTTCTTCTGCTGCTAGAGCATTTGCAAAATTAATTATTGCAAACTTCTTTTGATTTCCATTCCTGTTATATGGGATGTATACTGCTTTTGCATCTTTGTTCTTTAGGCATTATAAAAGAAGCACTTCTGAGGCTTTTCTTGGGATGTTTAATAATTTGGCTGTATGCTGTTCTTGCTTATCTCTTTGGCTATAATCTTCATCCCCAATTGTTATACATACTAGTTTGTTATTGCCAAGTGGCAGTACCTGTAGAATATTTTCTTCTTTCTCTAAGATTGCTACTATTACTAACAATGTCTTGTATAGTGATCTCTTAACTCATATAATGTTCAAGTTTTTGAATTTTCTGTACATAAATTTAATCACTTTTTCATTAATATTTGGTAGTAGATTTCATATAGTTAACCATTTTTTTTCTTGCAATTCTTTTTCTTTGTCTTTGCTATTTTCTATTATCATACTTTTTTTTATGACATCTTTTCCTTTTTGTTTTTTTACTTCTCTTGTTCTTCTTGGTTTTTTTTTTTCTTATTTGTTTTATATCTTTTTATCTTTTTTTTTAGTATGATGTTTCTCTTAATGCTCTGTTTCTTAACTTTTACTTTTATTTTCTTCTGGAATAAGTTTAAGCCATTTACCTTCTTTTTTTCTAATTCTGTCCATTGCTGCATCTCTGCTATATTCACAATTAAAATCTATTTCTATCTAATTATTCCTATTTTTGAATACTTCTTTGATTGTTTTGCTGTAATAGTTATTTCTTTGGATCCACTGAATATATTTTACTCTTTCTTTTTTGGATTTATCTGATAAAGTATAAGTTAATATATTTGCCTTAAAAGATTTGTTCTTGTTGCATATTTTGTTTTCTGGAGATTATCGATTATGCTCAATCATACATGCTGAAAATAAGGTACTGGTTTCTTCATCAGTTGGTTTTTCTTTTTGTTCTTCTAATTTTATGTGTGTGTCCTCACTGTTTTCCTTTATTTCCTGCATTATATTATTTTTTAGTATTTTAGATTCATTGGCTATTTGACTTTTTTGATGATGTAATATAGTGATACTAAGAACTTTCATTTGTTCTTCTAATTTCTAAGCTTTTACTCATCATTTGTTTTTTTTTTTCATAATGTATTATTTCTTTGTTTATATTTGTGTTATATTCAAATAAGTCTGAGTTGAAGCTTATTGACTTAAGCTTTACTGCCTACTTATCGATTATTTCTTCTTTAAGCCAGCTTGTTTTTGCTATTCTTAATGTTTCTAGTATTTGACTATATATTAATATATCATGCAGTGTAATATATTTTGGGTTATATATTACTAATTTTTTAACAATATGCTCTATATTACTTGGGTTCTGTATAGAAGTTTTGAAAACTTGGTTCAGAATTCTACAATCTACATGTCTTCAATTTTTATCACTTATTTCTCTAATATAGGAGATGATATCTGTATTACAATTTTTATTCATTAGTTTATATTCTAATGATTGAATTGAGATTTTCCTTTTTAGACCAATCAGTATCTATAATTAAACTTTGTAATATTCATTAGTATCTTGTTAGTACTACATTACTGGTTTTATAATAGTGCTTGCTATTTCCTAATTAGGTATAAGACCTGTTTGTTTGTTGTTGTTTGTTGTTGCTACAGTTATTACATGTTTTGTTTTCTATTTTTTAGGGTAATGCCAATTTTCCAAAATTTTCTACTTTTTTTGCTAAAAGTATTGCTGTTTTTTGTTAATATCTTAGTGCAGCTTTTCTTGTCTTCTAACTTTTACTATATTATATATAATTTTTTTTTTCTAATACAGCTTTTTTGTTAGTCATCTAAAGGGTGTTTGCTAATCTATTTTCTGTTATTTTTGAGTTTGTTTTTTCTTGTTTTTTTGAAATCAAGAATCAGTAAGGAAAATGTGTTTTATTCCTTGATTACATATATATAATTTTTTTTTTTCACTTTGGCAGTCTTGCCGATACTCTTTATTAAGATTTCTCTTTATATACACAATCATTTTTAGACTTAATATGCTGAGTCGACATCCTGCAGTTACTTCTATGAGCACTTACAAGTGATTTGCCACACCAGTTGCCTAATTTCTAAAGAAAAAAGGGAATCTGAGGGGCTCATCCGACCACCACCCTACAATAGAGTATTACCAATCTGATAATACTTTCTCATAGAAAAGTGAAAGAAGAAAAAAAAAACACTAAACTAAACTAAACTAAAAGGGATACAGAAAGAAAAAAAAAAAAAAAAAAAGTGTTAGAGAATTACATATATATTAATTACACAATTAATTAATAAAAAGCTATATATATATATTTGTTTTAATTTTTTAGTAATTTATTTGTTTATTATATATATTGATATTAATTAAGCACTTCAATATACTATTTTAATGACTGATACTCAAAAGACAAAACTAAAATATTACTGTAGAACTTGTTTTAGTTGTCATAAATGTTTGTATTATGAAATTGATTTGCAATAACAAAGATGCAATTGCAACTTTACAGATGTGTCACATAAGAATAATTGAACAAAAGCTGTCAAATATGCATTTACATGAGTCTTTAAACCAAACTTGATAAAAGAACAAGTGGAATACATTTGTCAAAAAATAGAGATTTACAATTACTCTCTAAGTTCAAAAGAAGTTTTTAATTTCTTTTTATGTTCTCATTGCAATAGTATATTATTAAGATTATCTTTAAAGACAAAAAAACATAAAGCAATATTTACCTTTGCAGTCCTTGCAGCTCTCATAGTTATAAATATAGCAAGTTTTTTAGAAATTGAATTATATGATCTTACTACTTCAGAAGATAAACCTAATAAATTTAAAAAAAGAGAATAGAAGTTTACTGATAATAGAAATAATAAACATAATGACAATGAATCTTTATCTAATAAAGATAGCAAATACAAGTATAATTATAAGATTATTATTAAGTTAGCAAATAGTACAAATATTTTTGCCAAATAGTATACATCCAAGGTATCAACAATTGATAAATTGCTTTTAGAACTTCATATAAATATTGAAATCTTAACAAAAAGAGGATCAATCGAATCAAGTCATTATTATATTATATTTAAACCTGAAAAGGCAACAGGAGTAGGTACTCAATTAGTAGATGATTATGACTTCAAAAAGTTCCAAGCTGATTACTAGAAATATACTTCTAAAAATATCAAAATGGCCTTTTTTGTAACTTTTATTAATATAATTATGATCTTTTTTGTGAGTTTATAGTGTAATATATAAATAATAATGATGATAATATATATCTATATAATTAGGATCTTGAGTTAGACAAAAATTCAGATAATAATACTATTACAAATTTTAAAAACAAGAATTCTATCCCTAAAGCTTCAAATTTATTTTCAAATGAATCCTTAATAGCAAAAAATATTTTAGAAATTTGTAAAAAAAATCATTGTCCTATTCATAACTAACTTTGTTTAAATAAAAATAGTGATAAAGAAAACTATATCAAAATTACATTTATAATGCTTTTAATTTGGGCATCTGAAATTGTAAGAGAAATTTTCATAATAATAATAAATTAAAAAAATTGTTGATATTTATATTAAAATTTATAAAAACAATTTTTTTATTGTCACATGTTTTTTTTTATTCATTAAATTTGAATCAACTTTTATTACTTTTATTATATATTTTCTTTAACTATTATGAATTTGTAAGAAAATAACTTGATATATTTTTTGATTTTATATAAAGAATAAAGTGATAGCATCACCAACTAAACCACCTATGCATCCAATATTTGCATATAAACATTAGTCAAAAAAAAGATGACTTTTAATACTATCACCTTTAGAATTATTACAAGAATCTTTATCATTATTATCATTACAAGCATCTTTACTATTAGTGCTATTACATGTTACTTCATCTTCAGCATCATTACAAATATCTTTGCCTTAGCATTACTACAAGCTATGTTACTATTAGCACTATTTCAAGCTACTTTACCATCAGCACTATTACAAATTTCTTTACCTTTGGCACTATTACAAGCAACATTTTTATTACAATCTAATTTAATATAACAGCCAAATTTTTTTTAACATCCAATGTATTTAGAACAATTTGATATTTTATTGCCAATTTATAGTTCATTTGTATCATATTTTCTGTCACAATTTCATGAAACACCTTTTCAAGCACCTATTCAGCTATCTTTTATAACCAAGTTTTAAACCTACACTTAAAGATTTTTTAAAGCATATTGATGAATATGAAGACACTAAAAATTATTATCAAGAATTTTTTATTAAAATTTCAACAACAAAAGATCTCTATACGATTGCTTTCTAAACTATCAAATGAAGACTTTGAAAAATGTGATATAGATATAATTGGTGTATAACAAACTTTTTGTGATTATGTTGCAAGATACAATATATATTTTATATCAGTAAACAATACATTTCCTATAGAAAAACTTTTACTTATAACCCATCACATTAAAAAAATTATTAGAAAATTCAGAGGTAATTTGAAAGCATGCAACCAATAATGAATATTTTGGATCCAAACAACTTTCTATAAAATACTAATATTTTTTTAAAAAACTTTTTATAGTTGAGAAAGCTAATTTTATCAGATTGAGGTTAGGAGAATATGGAAGAAGGAACTTTACACATATACTAAATGCATTTAAATATTCTAACAATTTGTCATCATGATGTATTTTAGCATTATCAAGTATTAAAATACTTCTTGTATATGGGAATGTATTCATTTGTGGTAGCTAAAAGACAATTAAAAATATAATTATAATTTGTATAAATAAATAATTTTATTATAATTATATACTATTTAAGTAATTACAAATTCTTTAAATTTTAATTTTTTATAACTGTTTTCCATAATATCAAAGCAATAATAATATCTAAAGTAAGTGCAGACAAGATTGTATACTACTTACTACAAAGAAATACTATTTTTTTAACAGCTTTAGTATTTATTTATAAATATCTATATACTTTAACAATAGTTCATTTAGTTTTTGATAATTTATCTAAAAAAACTAATTGCTCTTTTTTGTATTAGGAACTGATACATGCTATAAAGGTATTACAAAGTAGTTCATTATGCTTTTTAGCTACTTTATGTAGCTAAAATAAAAATTTTTAAGATTATATTACTTTACACTATGCTTGTACTAATTATATCAAAAAAAAATAATACCTTTTTTCATGATATTTCACTATAAGCCAATGAACATCACAGAGTAGAAATTGAGACTTTTTTGTCTGATCAAATTTCTATTTGCAATAAAATTTTATCAAGATATAAGCTCACATTTTCTTGAATAATATTTTGTAGAATCTATTATTTAACAAAATTAATATGCAGTAATATAAATGCAATTCAATAAAAAAATCTCCTGCTACCTTCATATCACTTTGATTAAAAGTTTTATACTATCCAGATACTTGTTGTTAAGGATTAGTTACAGTTCTCCATTTTTTATATATTCTTAACACTTATATACTAAGCTTTTACTAATATAAAGAAGTTTTGCAATTTGAGATATTGAATAGTTATCATAGTATAAAAAAATTATATACCATTTCAAGTTATTAATATATATAAAAACCATATTAAAGAAAAATAAGAATATAAAAAAAAGTAATATAGTTGTTAGAAACTTTATTTGTAATTTAATGAAGCATTATATTTTAAGTACATAGATTTAAATCATTATAATTTTTTGAAATCACAAAATCTCTGATTCTTATATGAAAAAATAATTTGCATTGTTTACATCTTTTTGCAAAACACAATAATAGTATTTTTTACTTAAAGATTCTTGTTTATATAGATTATTTGTTTTAAATTTTTTTTTTTTAATGTTAAGATAATCTTTTTGGTCTTTTGACTTTTATTAATGACTTTTGGTAATATGATTCTATAAACTACTACAGAAGAGTATAAAATTGATTATATATATAACTTTTCTATATTACTTATTTAAAGAGTCTGCTTAAAGTTTCTTTACTAATTGCTATATCTAATACTTCTGCTTAAGTATTTTACTTTAAACTCTCTAAATCTGTAACTTGTATTAACTTACTGAATCATATCCAGTAGTTCAGATCATTGTCTCAATCTTAAGACTATTTTATTCTTAAGATAAACCTTTCAGAACATTTTGTATCTATTTTTATAGCTAACTTAGATATTGCTATAGCAGAATCAATACTTGTAATCAGAATTATATCATTTAATTATTATGTTCTTAGAAAGTTCACACAGATTCTAGCATTTATTTCATAGTATAACCCTAGTACTTTAGTATACTCCTGCTTTTTGTTCAACCTTTTGTTCAGACTTTTAATTCAAATAGCCTATATAGAACTATAATTAGTTCATCAGTATATTAGGCAGCCTGATATTTTTTCTTTAATTCATTTAGTAGCCTAGTTGTTAGTATTTTTTTTTTTAGACTTCCAATTCAGAAGTTCTTGTTTGTTTAAGTACTATAACTAGGTACTATAACCTTAGTATCTATTTTCTTGGATTAGCCTTTACAATAAAGCCATCAAAAATCTGACTATCTCTTTACTTAGGTCTTCTCAAATAGGCTTTTTGTTATCCAATTTCAATAAATTTACATAGTTACAAGAACTTATCTAGTGTTTGCATTATCTGATTTGTCAGTTTGCATTTTTCTGTATAACTAGTTACACAAATATTTTACAATCTGTCAGTTATGCTGATATGACTGCTATTATAAGTATTCAACCCAATCATTAGTAACAGTTTTTATAATACAAATATTATATAAGTAATTATTTAAATTTTTATCATTGATAGAATTTAAACACCCAACTTATTACTTGGAGGGTTAACAACCTAACCACTTCACTAGGTTACTGCACTTCTTAAAAATTTTTTTTTAGTTTAAGATTTTTATAAATAATATTATTAGAAATTATATTATCTTTTTTATTTAAAATTTTCAAATAGATTTTTTATTTGAATATATATTTTTTAAATTTATTTGTATAATATTGTATATATTGATATATTTAGAAATAAAATAGATTGATTAGTTGATTAATTAACATCAAATTAATTAACTTTTTTAGATACTAACTAATTAATTAATTAATTAACTAATTGATTAGTTGTAATTAATTAACTAAAAAAATAATTAATTATAAAAAATTAATTAAAAAATTTATTAATAAATTAGTTGTATTAATTAATTAATTTTTTATTTCAATTCTTTTTAATGATCTCTTATATTAACTTTTTTCATATATATCAGCTTATAAATATTATATAGTTAGTATATTTATATTTAACAAAGCTTTGCAATATAGCATCTGGGTTCAAAAGTTTTAAATTGCATATGAATAATATAAAAAAAAGTTGAAAAAAATAATTTTTTATAAGTTTGGCTTTTTGGTAAAAGTTTATAAAGTTATTAAAAAAGTAATTTTTGTAATAATCAAAGAAGTGCTTGTTAAACTATATCTAAACAATAGTAAAAATAAAAGCTTGGTTGAATATGCTATTCTATATAATGTAAACTCCTACAAATTATTATATCTAATGTTTTTTCTGATCTTTTCTTTTTAGTTATCTTGTTATTTAGTTTTGAATTTTTGTAAAAAATAGTAATTCTAGCTCATCTTTACTAAAGAATTACAATGTTTATTTAATTCAAAATAGGAATACACTTACCAAATTAGAAGCAATATCATAAAAGCTTTGTTTATATAAAAACAATAGATAACTAATAATATGATAAAAGTAAACATATATATTGGTTGTCTCATTAAGCGTGATACACCAACTTGATACATTTGAATTAAAATATAATTATGCAAAATTTTACATATTAACTTGCAATTAAATAAATATATTTAATATTTGAAGATTTATAGAATATATTTATAA